TAGACTTCCGACCCTCACGTGTTTCCGGAGCTACTTTTCCCGTCTCACACTATATAAACCTCTCCAAAGCCTCCCCAAGAGATTTTAATCTTTGTTTGGCCAAAACTTTGTGAGTTGTAAAAAAAGTTATATCAATTATAGCTAAAAGTGTTCCATCACCTTTAAAAATTGGGCTCATTGCAAAATTAAAGTATAATTCTTCTGGATATTTATCAGTATTATTATACGTCAAAATAGGACATTCATTCTGAAATAAGCCTTTTCTAGTCGATCTTATTCTTAGGTTTAATTATAATTAATAATAAATTTAAATATATATTTTTTTTATTGAAATTGAAATATTTTTTGTGACTTACTTTTCATATTTTGATTTTACAAAGTTAAAATGTTCAGGACTAACTTCAAAGAATGATTTTCCAAATGCTATTTAATCATATCTACACTTTAGTCTGTTTTTCTTTAGAACATTAAATCATACATAAAATAATAAAGTTATTATTAACCAATTGGATGTTTTGATTTTAGCAGTGGTACGCTCGCTATATGAATAAGCATGCTTAATTAGTTAGTTATAAGATGTTAAAATGATAAGAAAATTTGTATAGTACTTACCTTGATTATATAAGTATATCAAATCAGGACCGCAGTAAATAAAGGTAGGAAACTTAGAATTCAGGCAGGAATCCTGATAAATTTACGTTATATGTGTCATGTAAACCTTTTTGAAATTAATTGAAATTTAAATTAAAATAGTAACAGTACTTACCACGGCAATTTTAAATGAAGGTTCCCAAGAATCCTTAGGTCCAAGATAGGTAGATGACCAATTATAATTATTAATCAAATCTATTACATTGATTTCATCACACTTATTATTATTGAGGTTGGTCGACATACTTGAAATATTAATATGTTAGAAGTTTAAGTTAAATCAAGCAGTTTTTATACTGTACGTATTCTATGCAATTATGTAATAATTTATTACTTAATCATATTAGATCTGTGTTGCAGTTAATTTTATGATAACGCATTTATGATTACAATTGGTTTAAAGATGTAATGCGGACAATTCGACCTAGTGTCACGGGGAGTCATTACCAGATTTAGCTAAATTGTAAATAATATAAGAATCATCAAAGATGTAATGATTGTTAACCGCGTAAAATCTGTAAGGACCGTCAAAAATATTAATGTTAGAAATGAAGTAAAATTAGTTTATCATGTAAATAGCGAGGAATTAATTAAAGAAGTAAATATGACAATTATGTATCAGGCCAAAAGTTATAAAAGCCCTTTAGATTTACTCTTGTTAACAATAACCTCCGGGTTTCGAACTATTTCAAAAATAACACTAATAAATAAGGCGAGACTAATTTTATTTGGTGGTTTACATTACATCTCCACTTTGTAAGAGGAGGAGGGAAAGGGGAGGCTTTGGAGAGGTTTATATAGTGTGAGACGGGAAAAGTAGCTCCGGAAACACGTGAGGGTCGGAAGTCTATGTGCCGCAGTATCTGCATACGGGTATGCAGATCTCTTGCCTTTATTGGGTTTCCCGGGGATAAAAGAGTTAAAAG